AACTTTGTCTAACTTCCAAATGCTGAACTGCTTTTGTCCTAATACATTTTTTTTAAAACAAATACATTGAGTTTGATTTGCCAACTCACTATTTATTAACTGTGTGACTATAGTCAAGTTTTTATTTGCTTTTCATGTACATTTGGTAATCTTTAAAACAGAGAAGTTAATATTTAATTTCCAAGATGCCTGGCATAGTGTAGGTATGCTAGTAGCTAGCGTTATTATTATTCATCCATGTCCTTTTTATTTTTTTAATTTTTAGAAGGTCAAAGATAGCTTCTGAATGAGATCTGACCAATTTTTATTGCAAGATATGTAAATGGGACAGTAATCCTGATGATAATAACAGGAGCAACAGTAACAACAAATAAAAGTGGTAAAAGCTTTCAATATGCAATCACCTTGCAAGTGAGGCGTCAAATACCAAGTCAATATTAGAAAACCTAGTTGTCGTTTCCATAGAAATTGTAAAAGTTAAAAGCATGAGGCTCCTCAGAAAGAGTCACCATCTTAGTTCCTCAGTCTCACAGTCTTACGTATGAATCTGATACCCAAACATTAGTGAATAATGAAACTCAAGTGGCTGGCACCTAGTCTAAAGGGTTTTGCTTTTTTCAATGGTTTTACTTTCTGTAAAAATTCAAACTCCATTTTACGAAACTTAGAATTCATAAGGAATTATTTCTGTATTCACAGCACTTTTAACATTAGAGAATTAATTGAGAAGGCCTGGAGCATTGACACTCTCACGCTTACTGGCACCACCTATGGGAGGAATGTACAAGCAAGTGCAATTCAAAATGAGCACTCCACTGCCGTTCCTTCTAAACACAGCTCCCATAAGCCAAACATTGCCACCTATTCACAACAGATTTAAGACTAGGGAATTAAAGCCTGGGAGACAGGTGAACCTCAGCACTTCATTCCTATTTGTGTAAGATTTATCCTCTTGCCTTGACCCTTTCCCTCAGCACTCCCAATAACTAACCAATCTATGTATCTAACATACATGAGATCATAAGGTCAGTGTCTAGAACCTCTTCTATACTTTTTTACTTGCCAGTTTCCTGCCACCTCTCTCTTCAACGCTTTAAAATAATTCACCTTTCTAGGGAATTGTTTTTGAAATAATTTTTTATTTGTGTGTGTTTGTGTGTAACTCACACTATAGCTACTTAAGAGCTCTCAGTTTGTGAAAAACCTTCCTAATTTGTTTGCAAGGTTGTTCAGCCCACTATACCACCCAGAGTGATTTTTTTTTTTGTGGAAGATTAGCCCTGAGCTAATTGCTGCCAATCCTCCTCTTTTTGCTGAGGAAGATTGGCTCTGAGCTAACATCTGTGCCCATCTTCCTCTACTTTATATGTGGGATGCCTACCACAGCATGGCTTGCCAAGCAGTGCCATGTCCGCACCCAGGATCTGAACAGGTGAACCCAGGGCCACCGAAGCGGAATGTGTGCACTTAACCACTGTGCCACCAGGCTGGCCTCCAACCCACAGTGATCTTTATGAAGTCTTGCAGGAGAAATCCCTCTTGGACCTTGGTATCTCATAACACTGTACTTCTCCTGAGTTACTGGAATGTTCTGATCTTATAATAACCAGGAATTCTAAGACTGGGAACATATCCATCTTTGTTTTGGCCCTCAAGTTTAGAGTCAAATTTATGGCCAACTTCCAATAATTTACAAAAGTATACAACATATAGTCTTAAGCGCTTATCTTACCCCAAAGGAATCTTACATACTCATTATACCTTCACTTGGAATTTGTCAACTATCTGTTTTATCGTTTTGCAATATATACATATACATTTTAAAGCTGCCTCAAATCTTTTGTGCAATAATGCAGGGAAGAAAAGAAAAGAAGGAAGTCAGAAAGGCAGGAAGGCAGGCAGACAGGCTGGAGGACGGAGGGAAGGAAGGGAGGAAGGAAACAACCCAAAGTATGTGCGTGTGTGTGTGTGTGTGTGTTGGTGTGCATGTGTTTGTAGCTCACCTTTAGGGGAATATCATGAAGTGCTACCTGGCAAATACACATAGTATGTACTGGCCTTGCAGGACATTTGGTCCTGTCGTAAACATCCATAAGACATTTGGTCCATGCCAAAATGTCCTTAACAGATGTTAGCTCAGGGCCAATCTTCTTCACAAAAAGAGGGGGGTCAGAGAAAATACAAGGTCTGAGGCCCTGTGATCCTTGACCACAAACTTTCTCCTCCAGTCTATTATTTGTCTATTTGTCCATGTGCTTTATAGGAAGTCCAGAAAGAGATTGATTTCAGTTCATAATTTGCACCTGAATTTTGGAGTGATTGCATTAAGAGTTTTAGTTTTACTCATTTTTTCCCTTAAAGGTCAAAAATAGAACACATAAACACGTATTTCTTACCTTGTGTACATGGCAATAAAATAATCAAAACCTCTTCCATTAAACTTCTTGTTATTTTTCTTCGTTTCTCTCCTTGATATATAGAATGTATAATCTATTAAAATAATGTGATAAGCACTCAGACTAAGTTCTCTGATGAGTACCTCCAAAGAAACTGCTTTCTGTTTACAATGAGATAAAAACAACAGCTGTATTTTTACTCAGACTAGTCTCTAGCTGCCGTCCCCACTCCAACCGAGAACTTTTTCACATAACTCGTTCTGCCTCAGATCAATCAGAATCTTATGTGACACAGGACCACTTTTACATTATAAATAATAATGTTTCACTTTTTTTCTAGGAGGAAGGATTTAAGTGAGAAAAGTTCACTCCATGAAAGTGCAGGCTTTTTTTTAGTATTTCTCTATACGTCTTTATGAAAGAAAAAGATCCAATCTATTCACAGTTGAAAAAAATCCATTTACTGCTGGTGCTATAGTTCCTGGGAAATAATGACACAGAGACAATTCCATAAGGAGACATTGAATTGTACCTGTATTAACAACTGATACAAAATAAAGCAATTACAGCCAAGTGTTATATTTTGGGTCATTGTGATCTCCAAACACAATTCAGGTCATAATATTCTATAATTTTCTTTTATTTTTTGTTTCTAATTTCTAGGCCCTACTTGTACTTCAATTTCTCAGAAATAGACATTAATTTAAGACTGTTTTCTACTAAAATATTCTTTTAACTACACTAGGTTGATTTGAAAAGTCATAATAAGTATAACATAAATTTGTAGTAAATGTATTGGAAGCTACATGCATACTTTTCAGAAACCGTGTAAGAAATTCAGTTAAAATAGATTGATATCCAAATAGCCTTCCAGAGTTTATAAACTCAATGTGGATGAAAAGAGGAAAGTAAAACCATAATCTCTAAGGAGATACTACAGCCCTACGGCACCAGTCTCACTGTGTGGTTCCTGTGCTGTGTTTCTGGCGGAGTCAAGGGAAGTCAAATTAGAAACCTTACTAAGCTTTGTTTTCATATCGAGACCACTTGTTGGAAAGAAACACAGATTCTATCCCTAAGGACCAATGCATACAAATTTAAAGCTGTGACTCATTTATATTTGAAAGTGAATGAACTTGATTTTTACTAAAAGTTAGTGTATATATTTTCAAACCACCAAAAAAAAGTGGAATTAGAACAATTCTTTCTCTTTTATCTTGCCACTTTGTGAAATGTTTAACTATATGAATCACAAAATTATGGGTAAAATTCTAAATACTTTCTTCAATAACAAATATCTCCCTGACTATTTATTTGGCATTATGCTTTCACTGTTTATTAGTCCTTTATGATTCTGAATGTATTTAAGAAATTTAGCAAATAAGTAAATTGTTACCCATCTCTCAAAAAAGAAAGGTATAGGATCCCTCTTCATATGTTAAAGTTAATGATTTATCTCCTTCATATCCATTCAGTATGGTTTCTGGACTGCTTACTTTCATCGTTTGTCAGATTAACAAACATTAAATTTAAGGATCTACATTGTATTAGTATCAAATATACTATTTTAGCATGAAATAATGAGAAGTTTCAAAAGATCTCTTTTACAATTGGTGAATAATGGAAGGAAAGGCAGAACATTTTAAAGAAGCATTTCTAACCATAGGAACATGACTACAGAATGAGAATTCTGGGACAACGTTTATTTATAAAAATATTCAAGTCTTATCATTTCCAAGAAACTATTCTAAAAATCATGTCTTTGATCAATGTAGCCCAAGAAAGGGGAAAGAGACATATGTACTGAGCTATGAATAGATTAACAAACAATAATAGAAATACAAATAATGCACATCATTCTTTTCTGGACCACTTTATTTTCAGGAAAGTATTTTCAAATTGTGCAAATGCAACATAATTTAAGTGAAGACAATTGAACCCCAACTGATGCTATAATCCTTCATATGTGTCAGTGAGTGTTTTGTTAGTTAGAACACTCCAGAATAGTCAAAATGGATGAATGTAATTAATTCGTACAGGCCATTCTAGGCTTCTATAAAATGAAAGTAACGTGACTTTTTCACCCACATTTATAGAAAAAGAACATTTCATATCCTCATTATATTTTGCTAGAACACACAGGTCTTGCTAATCTGGTAAATTCATGCTTGTTTTTACCCACTATTCCTTGCATGACATATAAAGAGGCAGCAGGTTAGACTCTAGGCACCTCTAACCACTTCTATTTCTTGTTTCACTATGCATGAATGGGTTTTATTGGTAGTAGAAAAAATCAATACATAGGAAATATTACAAAGAAATAAAAGAACTATTTCATGTGTTTTAAGTGTATTGTCTAATTCCTTCCTACACTGGCAACTTGTATGCACTATAAATAGAAATAAAGAGTGTGCATATAATCTGAAAATCGTGGTATTTAAAATTGGATGGTAAAGATTTATTTTTAAGGCCCTCCTGTCACTGATTAACAAATAAAAAGAAACCTTGTCTAGACAAGGAGAGAAAAGTAAGTACAAGTTACAGAAGTAGTAATTCTTTAAACTCCTTTTTGCCTTGCCTCTAAATGCTGTGTTATGTTGACAGATCTGGGAAATTTTAGTGGCCGGACAAGAAGTGCAGTCTCTGTGAGGGAAGGCCAGGGGGTTGTTCTGATGTGCTCTCCTCCGCCTCATTCACCAGGTACAGTAGGATCCCATTCTATATTGCTGCTACTCTCTTTTACTATATGCTCATTCTTTTAGACAGTGTATTGACTGGGGAACATTGCAGGTGAAATGTGCATGGTCTTCTTGAAATGTATCAGAGTACCAGATGACTAATTAAAGATCATATACTCTAAATGCCATTGGACAGGAGACTGAGCTCCTATGATAAGATTGTTTTATTGCCATTCTAATTGTTGGTTGTTGAGGTTCTGTCTCTGCCTGCCACCAGTGAGGAATATATTACATGGAGCACAAGGAAAGTGATAAGCTAAGAGAGAGTGAAAACTTTTCAAAATTATTTGGAGTGTCAGAGTTGAGTTAACTGAATACCAATGTGCATCTTGTTTCAGAAGATAAGTCAAAAACTAGATTGTTTATGGTGGTGTTTGTCACACTGGAACAAAAACGGCTAAGAAATATTTTTTTGAGTTTCAAACAGAACTATAATTTACTTATTATTTTTTGGCTACTTGAGCTCTTGTTTGTAAAAGTCATAGTAATAGGTAAGTACTTCATGAGGTTTGAAGTAACAGAATAGTAAACTGTGCTCAGATTAATTATATTCCCTTTTGCCAGCTCTCAGTTAATTATACTCACTTCGTTTGAGTCCTATCATTTGAGACGAGTACCTCAGATCAGATTGTCTATAATATGATTTAAGAGTAGCCAGTATCAGTTAAAGAGAGAGAGAAAGAATCAAATGTCTATTTCTATCTCAGAAATAACAAAGACCTCAAAGTTACCAACTGGAAACAGAATTCAGGATCCTGGTACCTCGATCAATTTTTCTTCTTTGTTTAGTGTGAAAGCCATATTTGTTACTAGGTTGTATTAATAGTGAAGGAATGGAGGTCAGTTTTGTTCTACCATAGATAATTCTTATCATAAATTACAAAAGGACTTCAATCAATTTTTTTTAAAGTTTCTTACTTTTATCTGACCCTCCTTTTAACTTTTTTTAAATTGAAGGAAAAGTAAACTATGTTTCAACAGGAAAATATTTTTGAAAACATTTTGCTTTGAAACTCAGATAATCACTATTAGGACTATTTTCCAAGTAGTTCCCACTTAATTACTATATGTCAGTTCAGTCACTCCAATCCTTCCGTGAGCAATTTGGGGACTTTACAGTAAACATATCTAGTCTTTTCTTGTAAGTGCCATCGAGTCAATTTTGACTCCTAGCAACCTGTGTACAGAGAGCAGAACCCCGCCAGGTCTTTTTAAATCTTCCTCTCACCTTCCTGCGCTACACCAGACAGTGCTCGTCTGCTATTCATAGGGTTTTCATGGCGAGTTTTTTCAGAAGTGGGTGGCCAGGTTCTTCTTCCTAGTCTGTCTTGGTCGGGAAGCTCCGCTGAAACCTGTCCACCATGAGTGACCCTGCTGGCATTAGAAATACCAGAGGCGTAGCTTTCAGAATCACAAAGCTGCCACAGTATGACGACTGACAAACAGGTGTTGTGATTTCCTAACAAGGAAACAAAACCAGGCTGTGGTAGTGAGAGAGCCAAATTTTAACCACTAGATAATCAGGGCTGGCTATATATCTAGTCTTACTTGCATGTGATTACAGCTTTAGATTGTATCAAGACAGTATGTGTTTTAACTTTATTTTTATGGATAAGACAAAAAAAAATTAGTAGGTTTAGGAGAATCATATAGCATTAATATATGTTATGTGGAACATTGTGTTATTAGAAAGTTTGAAGAGCAGTGTTAGATGAATAACTGTTCGAGAGAAAAAGAAGAAGGAGGGGGCTGGCCCAGTGGCGCAGTGGTTAAGTTCACACGTTCTGCTTCAGTGACCCGGGGCTCATGGGTTTGGATCCCGGATGCAGAGCTAGGCACAGCTTTTCAAGCCACGCTGTGGCAGGCGTCCCACATAAAATAAAGGAAGATGGGCATGGATGTTAGCTCAGGGCCAGTCTTCCTCAGCAAAAAGAGGAAGATTGTTGGCAGATGTTAGCTCAGGGCTAATCTTCCTCAAAAAAAAAAAAGAAGATGAGGTGAAAGCAACAGGCTCTGTAGAGGATGAAAGTGTTCATCATCAGACTGACAGAACTTAACAACATGAAGTGACCTGTGGGGGAAAAAAGCAAGATTTTCTGACATATAATCTATATTGCAAGGGTGTTGGAATATGTGTAAAAAAAGTGAAATGGGAGAGGATGATATAGGAAGCAAAACTGCAAGATTACACACAGGCAAATTATCCAATTGGCAGATAAAACTATATAGAGAAGATTTCTAATGCGAAAAAATAATATAGTGAATTGCATATGTGGTAAGCATGAGATAAGAATATGTATTAATAATTGATTAAATAAATGAAAATGTGATCTCTGATTGAGATCAATAAGAGTATAGCGAAATGTTGCTATTGTATATGTGTCATAAGAAATATCAGACTGATTATAGAATTTAAGATTGTGGGAGAGGATATATTGTACTAGGTACTCATTTTGGTGTGTTATGTCAAACGATCCACTTAAACATTAGTGTTAGCACCACAAAATTTTAGAGGACATGTGCATGGCCCAAAATAACAAGAGTAGCTCAACATCCAGGCCAATGCCTAACACTTACCAGGTGGTAGTTACCCCCTGGTCAGCCAAATCTTATATATCTTTAGCTTTTTTGTTGACATTCTTTTTATGTTCTGGCTCCAACTGAAATCCAAATTCCCCAGGAAGACATGACTTCCCCTGTAGTCTGTTAAAGTTACAGCTGGTTAGTCTCTCAAATTGTGTGTGTCACTCAAAGTGAGATTGCAACACATATCCTCCTTTCTCCTCATTGCCCATTCTCCCTTCTTCCTCCTTACAAACACTTAGTTTTGAATTTTAAGCCATCATACTCTACACTTCCTTATTAGAAAGATTTACACCCTTCCAGCTCATTTCCCTTCATTTCCTGAAGATTTTACCTCCTGGGTTACTATCAATTTCTTCAGTACTACTCCAGTCTTAATATTTGGTAATTTCATTAGGTCCCTTACAACATTCTGTCTTTTTCCTTCTGATGAAGAAATGAAAAGCAATAAGAGAAGTTAATATACTGTGGTATATGAAGAAGCCATTTGGTTTAAAACTAATTTGGCCTAAACTTGTTTTTCCAGAAAGGTCTGACGTGGTCTGTCGAGCATGCATTGTACATCTGCTTTAAACACATACAATGTCCCAAAGCCAAGAATGACGCCCTTAAAGACAGGAATGTATGCCTCTCCCTCCATAACAGCATTTCTTTAAAGACAAACATTTCTTTTCAGAAACTAAGGATTAATTACTGACCTGCTATGCTCATCTTGTGACCACTGACCTACTGTGCTAGCAAAAGAGCTTGTGACTGTAGTCAAAGAGATATTCCTGTCATATTTGTGCCAAGATGGTATATAACCACGCTGTACACTCTACTTCTTTAGAGTGCTTCCTTTCTTAGTGAAGGGTCTCTCCCAGGCTATTGTCCTCAAAACTGGCTCATATAATAAACTACCCGAATTTTTATTTATAGACTGATTATGGATTATTTTCATTTCTTCCAATAATCTTGTTTTATAACAAATTTCAATATAGTCCCTTGATCTGTTATTACCAACTGCTATGATCTCTCAATTACCACACTTGCAAGCATTCTATTCTCTGACCAGCATCTCCTATCTTCTGCTCAATCCTTCTTGGACCCTGATTCCAGGATCCTTTAACCTCATTGAAATCTCTATCATTGATCCTACCTCCTTTTCACTCTATGTTCCCTCCTTTGATTCTCACTTTTCTCCTTCAACCATTATTATTGTCTTGCATACAGCCTCAATTTCTTCATATATTCATATATCTTTCACTTCATCACACTGACTTGACAGTTGACAAAACTTATCCTTATCCTTTAATCCTTATTTTAAATGCAGCTTTCAGCCTACTGCATGTCTGAACCTACTCAGCTTAATATGACTGTGAAAAAGTAGAGTTATGCAGACTAATCTGAACTTAAGATCCAAACTATGAATTTCTAGTTCACTTTAATGCTGACCAGAAATTTGGGGGAAGAAAAAAAAAAAAAACAAAGCCCAGTCCTTTTACTGTAATTTTGCCAAATGTTCGATGTGTCTCCCATCCTTCAGTTTTTCTCCTGTGGTCACTCTCAGCTGATAACTGTTGGGGAGAAAAAAATCTTCCTCTGCCCTTCTCTAGGTTCTTCTGGCAAGTCTAAGAATTAAATTGATATGAGGTAGATTAACAGGAGAAAGTATGTTGTATATTGTGAAATGAGTAAATAACCTGATATATACTACAAATCTCAGACCCACATTTTTGTCTCATCCAAATAGTCATGTAGATTATTATCACCTACCTGTTTAACTGATGCTTGATTCTATTTTGTTCCTCCTCTTGTTTTACTACCTTCTCTCAATCATAATTAGTTTTTAATTTTATCTTATCAAAATTTTATTATGTGAAGTAAAGTGTTAGAAGTAAAAGTTTACTAATATTTTTATCTCCCTTAGTAGATTATATGTTAAGAGTGATTTCAACTTTGTATGAACATCATAGTGTGTGCTTACACAAATGTAGATGGTACAGCCTACTCTACACTAGGCTATATGGTACTAGTCTTATGGGACCACTGTTATATATGCGGTCCGCTGTTGACCGAAATGTCATTATGCTGCATATGAGTGTACTTCTCAAGAGGTCAATGTCAATTCCTGTCAGTAACATTTGTGAATGAAAACATCCTGATTGGATACTGAAGTAGTTATTTATCTACCAGGAAACGGATGTATTTTTCTAGACTGTTAAGCACATCTGCTCAAAATGATTCTGGTTGCCAAAAAACACCTCTGTCAGTTTAGTAATTTTGAAATTTGGCGTTATATTGTAAAGAAAAGCTCTGCAAAAATGACGAATAAGTCTCATAAAACCTATAACCATACATAGAATTATTTTATAGTTTAGAGGTTATTACTACAGATGC